AAAGATTCTTTCTGTATTTTTGCTCTCAGTAAAAGGTCTTTGTCACTAGTTAACTCCAAGAGTCAATCTCATAATTTTGTTCTCATTCTCGCGTTTTTAGTGGGAGATTTTGGTCTACAGCTATTCAGCTTTCTTTCATCTAAGAACTTTAGGTGAGGAACTGGGGGAGAAAATGGCTGCAGATAACCATTCCCAGACAGTTATGATACATTTCACCAACACTTTTGCTTCTTTTCTTTTCTTTTTTCTTTTAAGAGACAGGGTTTCATATTGTCGCCCTCGGTAGAGTGCCGTGGTGTCATACCTCTCACAGTAACCTCCAACTCCTGGGCTTAGGCTATTCTCTTACCTCAGCCTCCCAAGTAGCTGGGACCACAGGTGCCCGCCACAACGCCCATTGTTGCAGTTTGGCCAAGGTTGGGTTTGAACCCACCACCCTCAGTATGTGAGGCCTGTGCCCTACTCACTGAGCCATAGGCGCCGCCCCACTTTTGCTTCTTTTCATGCTGCCTGTATTTTTAATACTGACCACGCAAGACTTTATGCAAAGAACACACTCCTCTTGCTTCCTACCTGTGTACCTGAAGGGTTTGTTTATACTGTGTTGATTTTCTTTCCCTTTCAAATATGAATAAAAAAATCAATTACCAAATTCAAAAAAAAAAGAAAAAGAAACAATATTACAGTATTTAAGAAAAGTACTACTTTGAGAAGTATTAATATCTTCCTCTACTATTTCAAAAATGTAAATTAATCTACCTATGTTTAATTTGTAATAGAAGCTGAGAGTAAGAAAAGATAGTTTTTGAGATTTACAAAATGTCAATTTTTTCATTATTAAGTATCAAGCGTTCCACAATATTCACATTGTTTAACAGCAAGGTATTGTGGTAGGCGCCTATAGTTCCAGCTACTTGGGAGGCTAAAGGCAAGAGGATCGCTGGTGCCCAAGAGTTTGAGGTTGCTTTGAGCAATGACACCACCACACTCTAAGGAGGGCTACAGAGTCACACTCTAAGAAAAAAAATACAATTAAAAAAAATTAAAACGTTCACAATCTGTTAACATTTAGAGTAAAATGAATGGCTTTCCTTCACTCTAGCAATAAGTACACAGAAATGGAAATAAGAATAAAAGTATTTCATTCCCGGGCAGCACCTGTGGTTCACTGGGTGGGTAGGGCACCGGCCCCATATACCAAGGGTGGTGGGTTCGAACCCCAGCCAAATTGCAACAAAATATAGTCAGGCATTGTGGCGGGTGCCTATAATCCCAGCTACTTGAGAGGCCTAGGCAAGAGAATCGCCTAAGTCCAGGAGTTGGAGGTTGCCATGAGCTGTGACACCACGGCACTCTACCAAGGGCGATAAAGTAAGACTCTTGCCTCTGAAAAAAAATACAAACAAAAAAACAGAAACAGAAAAGTAAGTCATTCCCATCAGTAACAAAAATCTAAAACACTTAGGGCCGGGCGTGGTGGCTCACGCTTGTAATCCTAGCACTCTGGGAGGCTGTGGCAGGTAGACTGCCTAAGCTTGTGAGTTTGAGACCAGCCTGAGCCAGAGCAAGATCTTGTCTCTAAAAACAGCCAGAGGTTGTGGTGGAAGGCACTTGGGAGGCTGAGGCTAAAGAATCACTTGAGCCCAAGAATTTAAGGTTGCTGTGAGGTCTGACACCATGGCATTCTACCAAGGACAACAAAGTGGGACTCTGTTTCAAAAAAAAAGGAAAAAAAGAACAAATTTAACAAGAAAGGGTTAACAACTACCAGAGAAAAAAATAAGTGAAAAAAAGATACCATGACACTGGATAAGGCAAGATGATATAATTGTCAATTTTCAGAAAACTTAATACATAAACATAATGCAATTCTGATGATAATTCAAATAGGGCATTTCTCTTGCATGTGTGTCTACAGATGTACATTATATAAGCCAGGCTTGTGGTTCACATCTGTAATCCTAGGACTCTGGGAGGCTGAGGCAGATAGATCACCTCAGCTCAGGAATTTGAGACTAGTCTGAACCAGGGCCCCATCTCAACTAAAAATAGAAAAAACTAGTTGGGCATTGTGGCGGGTGCCTGTAGGCCCAGCTTATTCAGGAGGCTGAGGCAAGAAGATCACTTGAGTCCAAGAATTTGAGTGTGCTGTGAGCTATGACACCCTGGCACTCTATCCAGAGAAATGGAGTGAGACTTTGTCTCAAAAAGGAAAAAAAAAGAAAAAAGAAAAAGAAAAGTACAGTATATGACTAAAACCCATTAAGTACAAAAGAATTATCTTTGGGTGAATGTGGCAAGAAAGAATGACTTATCAAATTATGGGCACATATTTCAGAATTTCTGATATCAAATCAAAATAGTGTTAGCGTAAGAACAAATAGATCAGTGGAACAGAACACATAATCCAGAAACTGTTTCCATTATATATATGAGAATACAGCATATAACAAAGATAGTCATTCAATTCAGTAAGATGAATTATTTAATAAACAATAAACTGGCTATCCACTGAAAATAAAATTAGTGCTCCTAACCTTGTACAAAAGATTCCAGATCAATGAATGAATAAAACACAAAGTAAAAGTTTAAGGAAATATGAGAGACTGCTAGGAACTCCTAAGTACAATATGAACATATAATGCATTTCAAAAGTTAAAACTTTCAGAAGAGCAAAATATACCGTAACAGAGCCAACAGTTAAAAGATGTTCAAAAATCACTAGCAGTCTAAAAATCATAAAGTATTACCATTTTTTTGATTCAGCAATCCCACTCATGAAAAATCGTCTCATTAACAACTATCAGATGAGATTTTATATATATATGTATTTTATTTTTATATATATATAAATACCTATCTACCTTTTATTGCAGAATGATTTACAATGGCAAAAAAAAAAAACTGGAAACAAATGAATGCCCATCAATTAGAGAATGGTGGGGGAAAGTATGGTATGTATATTCACACCATGAAATATCACAAAGCCATTCAAAATAATTATAGAGCTATGCTAATCAACTTGTAGGTACTTCCAAGAGGTAGTGCTGAAGGAGAAAGCAAGACAGAAGAAAGTATGCTTATGACTCCACTTTTATAAAACAAAACAAAGACCAAAACACTCCCCTTACATAAACAGACACAGATGTACACATATATGAGCATAGAAAAAACATGGAAGGCTACCTGCTGGGTGGTTAACATGGGTCTGGAAGGAAAGGAAAGAAGAGGGAACAAGCAAAAAAAAAAAAAAAAATTAAAAGATTATATTTAAAAATAAATGTGATCACATCATATTATGAGAATTTATTAATGTAAAATTATGTATTTGTGACATTTTAAAAATAGACGCTTTAAGATAGGGAGAGCAATTGATGAATTCAAATTCAAAGAAAAGAGGCCCAGGCCATAAAATTCTAAAACTGTACAGACTTCTTCTCTAAGAACATTCATTACTGAGAATTAGGAAGGTGAAAACACAGTAACATTATGTTCTTTTACAGTAGAAGCTTTCTTAACCAACTACTGCAACCACTGGATTAATCAACGCCCTTACTTCTCTTTGTAAAACTTACTGACCAAAGCCTATGGTACTGTGATTATCTATGGCTGACTATTCTGAATAGTAACAGCAGCTAACTTACTCAATATTCCCTATGTATCTGTTACTTTTCTCTAAGGGCTTTACATATTATTTTATTCCTCACCAAGAACCCCACAGAGGGCTCATTTTATAGTAAGATGAAGAAATGAAAGCACAGATATAATAAATTACTTGTCCAGGTCAACGCTAGTTAAGTGTTAGAACTGGGATTTAAATGCAGATAGTTTGGGCTCAATTCCCACACTCTCAATCAGTCTGCATAATGCTATTATGAGCTTCTGCCAACCAGCTGAAATGTATCCTTATAGAATTCTTCTAAGAATCAAAAGAATATGTTCCCATCCGTACTTGTTATTATAATTACATAATATGTTACACAAAAAGAAATGCTTCTATGAAAACTAACTGACTACTCTGAAAAGTCTCAATAAAGATATGTTATCAAAAAATATTCCTGTCGGGTGATGACTGTGGTAGAGTGCCAGCCCCATATACCAAGGGTGGCAGGTTCAAACCCAGTGCTGGCCAAATTGCAACAAAAAAATAGCCAGGTGTTGTGGCAGTCGCCTGTAGTACAGCTGCAAAAAAAAAAAAAAAAAAAAAATATATATATATATACACACACATATATATATTCCTATCAAATTAGTTTAGATAAGAATTATAAATGGTTTCAGGCAAAAAAAATAAAAATAAAAATATACATATCAGGCTGTGCACCCGTGCACAGTGGTTACAGTGCCAGCCACATGCACCGAGGCTGGTGGGTTTGAGCCCGGCCCAGGCCAGCTAAACAATAATGATAACTGCAACAAGAAAATAGCCAGGTATTGTGACGGGGGCCAGTAGTCCCAGCTACTCAGGAGGCTGAAGCAAGAGAATTGCTTAAGCCCAAGAGTTTTGAGGTTGCTATGGGTGTGACGCCACAGCACTCTACCAAGGGCAACAAAGTGAGACTGTCTCAAAAAATATATACACACACACACACACACACACCCCCCTATATACTTAGATCACTCAGTTCTTGCTCCTCTTCAGAGAAACCAAAATGGAAACTGTAGATAATGCTTTATGAATACAGTTTATTTGAGGGGTGAAATCGAATGGAAATCTGTACTCAAATATTAAGAGGGATGAAAAACAAATTTGTTTAAGTTAGCCTTTATCTACAAAGATTTTTATTTTTTATGATCCCCACTTTAACACACTTTTCTGATTAACCAACCTGTTACTGGTCCCAATCATTTTGGTAAGAGGGCTCTACTGTTCTCTTTGCAACAATTTCAGAAGCTTTAATTAAAGTAGTAGAGCAAAATTTCTGAGAAAAATTACATCTGTTTTACTGCTAAGCTACAACTATCAAAAGTCAAATTGAAAGTTATTTTATAATCCTTACCCATCTTGTGTGGGTGGGTATTCACACTCTTGTCCTTTGGGAAATACACCATTAGGATACAGGTCACATATTGGAACTGAGGGAGGGTCTGTTTGAACTTTTGCTGTGAAATACAAATAAAGCATTATCTTTTGTAGTCAGAAGTAAAATTAAACAGTTATTACAACTTTCTCAGTTCCTAATGATTATTATTATATATTCTGATTTTAAGGAACATCTTTGCTGTTATCTTACAGTTAAAAACAGAATACACTTCACCATGCTGGCTACCTCCTCTCTGATTTACTGCTGCTTGAGAAAAGAAATCTTCAACTCCTCACAACTCCATTATGTATTTTTTTTTTTTTTGAGACAGAGCTGCCCCCGTTGGGTAGAGTGCTGTTGCATCACAGCTCACAGCAACCTCCAACTTCTGGGCTCAAGGGAGTCTCCTGCCTCCGCCTCTCAAGTAGCTGGGATCATAGGTGCCCGCCACAACACCTGGCTATTTTTTTTGGTTGCAGCCATTATTGTTTGGTGGACCTGTGCTGGATTTGAACCTGCCACGTTAGGTGTATGTGGCTGGCGCCTTAGCCACTTAAGCCACACACGCCAAGCCAACTCCATTATGTATTTAAACAGCATATGCTTTGGCAAAAAAGCACACTTCTAATGTTTTCATCTTCATTAACTATACCAGAGGTAGAATAGCATAGAGAGGCTGGCTTTTACAAATAAAAATCAAGTAACAAGAAAATAAGTCCTGGGCAGCGCCTGTGGCTCAGTGAGTAGGGTGCCAGCCCAATACACCAAGAGTGGTGGGTTCGAACCCGGCCCCAGCCAAACTCCAACAACAACAACAAAAATACCTGGGTGCTGGGGCAGGCGCCTATAGTCTCAGTTACTTGGGAGGCCGAGGCAAGAGAATCACCTAAGCCCAAGAGCTGGAGGTTGCTATAAGTTGTGATGCCACAGCACTCTACCGAGGGCAACAAAGTGAGACTGTCTCTTAAAAAAAAAAAAAAAGTAAGTCCTATAACAATAAAAATATAAATTATATATTAATAAAGTAAGTGAAAAACTTATTTCAAAGACATATTAGGTATAAACATTAAGAGCATACAAAATCAATGCTGGTCTTCCAAAATCTTAATTTCTCATCATGTCCTACTTTTATCTCATTTACAAATCTGATAAAGATGCCTTTTATAGTATTCACAAATTAAGATCTGATAGTTCAAAAGACTCAAAAAGATCATTACAGAAAAAATACAGAATTTGTCATCAGAACATCAAAATTGGTCTAGCCTTTACTACTTATTAGCTGTGAATTAGACGAACAGCTAAATAATGGTGCCATGCCTCAGTTTCCTCATCTACAAAATGACAAATCAAGTGAAATCCTGGATAACCTTTAAAAACTGTAATGCACAATGTCTAAACCATTATATAAAACTATGAATTATCTATAATAACTATTACTTATAATTTTCCCACTGTACAGATGAGGAAAATGAAGGCAATTAACTCCCCATGATTACTTTATTTGGCTTACTTCACAAGTAGTTTCAGGAAACTTATCAGGATATCAAAAATACACAAATAAAATACAAAGTAAATTAGAAAGCAAAGATCAAAACAAGAAAAAGAACATGAAATAGAACCTGAAATAAGGCCAATACAAAACCAGATTTGGCTCAAACCTCTCTAGCAGTCAATATTAAAGAAAAAAAAGCTAGGCTATTTGCATAGTTCATGATGTTTCTTATATAAAAAGGATTAACTACTCAGATAAAGCACAGTTATTCTTGATTTCTTGATTCTAAGACCAGGACCAAAGTATCTTTAGAGAGTGCTCACAAAGAAATATAATAAACAGTACATTCAACAACGACATCAGGGACAAAACAAAGGTTGATAGCATTATACTCAAACATCTGTCTACAGAAAAATTCATCAAGGACAAATACTCAACACTCCTCTTACTAATCTAAATTTATAAAGGATCAAATTTAAAGTATTTAGAGAAATATGTATCTCCTAAGTTATTCTCAGGTAATAGCACTTCTCACAGCTACATCCTTAATGATTTCTGAGTGGAAAAAATAGGGCATTATAAACTTTGGAAGATTCCTGGAACCACATAACTAGTTCTCATTAAATATAGATTCATGCGCCTTCATAGGCTAAGGAAAGGGGTAATATAGTCTCTTCAGAGACAATACCAGAAGAATTTAGCAAGAATGGATGTATGAATAGAAAGGCTCTCTCACTTCCACCTGGAGACACATTATAAAAATGCCTGACAGTGGGCAGTGCCAGTGGTTCAGTGAGTAGGGCACCAGCCTCATATACCGAGGGTGGTGGTTCAAACCTGGCCCCGACCAAACTGCGACAACAACAACAAAAAAAATAGCCGGGTGTTGTGGCAGGCACCTGTAGTCCCGGCTACTCGGGAGGCTGAGGCAAGAGAATCACCTAAGTCCAAGAGCTAGAGTTTGCTGTGAGCTGTGACACCACATCACTCTACTGAGGATGACAAAGTGAGACTCTGTCTCAAAAAAAAAAAAAAAGAAAATGGCTGACAGAAGCAATAGCTTCCTTAAAAAATAATTTAAGTACTTCTCTCAATATAGATAAAAATGGAAGACAGTTGGGTGCAATGGCTTATGCGTGTAATCCTAGCATTCTAAAAGGCTGAGGTGGTAGGAGGGTTTAAGGTGCAGATTTTAAGATCAGCCAGAGCAAAAGAGAGACTCTGGTCCCTACAAAAAACAACAAAATTTAGCCAGGTGTGTTGGCATGTGCCTGTAGCCCCAGCTACTCAGGAGGCTGAGGCAGGAGGATTGATATCTTGAGCCTATGAGTTTGAGGCTGCAGTGAGCTATGATGACACCACTAGACTCTGGCCCTAGATACAGACAAAGAAACTCTGTGCCTACCCTCCAAAATTCCGACTCAAAAAAAAAAAACACCATAACCAGACATTCAATTGTCTCCAACGGCCCAAAGGGAATCCCAGATAAGAACATAAGTGCTCCGCTTGGTGTCAGTAGCTCAGTGGCTAGGGTGTCAGCCACATACACTGGGACTGGTGGTTCAAACCCAGCCTGGGCCTACTGACAACAAAAAAAAATAGCCAGGCGTTGTGGCAAGCACCTATAGTCCCAGCTAATTGGGATGCTGAGGCAAGAGAATCACTTAAGCCTAAGAGTTTGAGGTTGCTATGAGCTGTGACACTACGGCACTCTACCAAGAGTGACATAATAAGACTCTGTGTTGGCTGGGCGCCTGTAGCACAATGGTTACATTATCAGCCGCATACACCAAGGCTGGTGGGTTCGAACTCAGCCCGGGCCACCTAAACAACTACAACAACAAAAAATAACCATGCGTTGTGGTGGGCGCCTGTAGTCCCAAGGATGAGGCCAGAGAATTGCTTAAGCCCAAGAGTTTGAGGTTTCTGTGAGCTGTAACGCTATGGCACTCTACTGAGGGTGACATAGTGAGACTCTGTCTCAAAAAAAAAGACTATCTCAAAAAAAGAAAAAAAGAATGGAAGTGCTCTGATTCTCAACTCAACCTTTGCTCCTTAAAGGATGACGTTTGGTTATACCATTCATCATTCATAGAAATGAAAAAGTAGGGCAATATTTTATACAAATTTAAAGTTAATAATTAAATCTCACCATATGCACATATTTAAAATAATAGGACTGGCTCAGCGTCTGTGGCTCAAGTGGCTAAGGGGCCAGCCACATACACCTAAGGTGGCGGGTTCGAATAGCCCGGGCCTGCCAAAACAACAATGACGGCTGCAACCAAAAAATAGCCAGGTGTTGTGGCCGGTGTCTGTGGTCCCAGCTACTTGGGAGGCTGAGGCAGGAGACTCACTTGAGCCCAGGCGTTGGAGGTTGCTGTGAGCTGTGATGCCACAGCCCTCTATCCAGGGGGATAGCTTGAGGCTCTGTCTCAAAAAAAATAATAAAATAATGGGACTCTTCATTGAGTATTTATCAAGAATTTCATAATTTCAAAGCTGGCAGGTAAATTGCAAACTACACTTACCCTATTATCACATAATGGCAACACTTTAGCCCTACCTCATAAAAATTATTCTTTAAGTTAAGATTTAAATTATAAAATTTTTAGAAACTCACCCTATACCTGTAGTAAATTAACTCATATTGACATTGCTTAGCTGAATAACAGCTTAAGAAAATATCAACAAGACTGTCAAAGTATTTGCCAAATAATTATTAGTTTTACTAAGTTCTACCTCTATTAAGCCTAAGTTTATTTCCCTGACATATTATCAGCATCATAAGCAACTTCCAACCTATTCTTCAAACCTGTTGGTTCATAATCACTTTTAAGGTATCATTTAAGATTAATTTAAGAAACTAACATCCTCTCTTCTTCTTCTTCTTTTTCTTCTTCTTTCCGGTTGCTCCATCCCCATCACCATCTCCATCTAAGAAAAGACAAGTTATATATTCATTTAAACCTCATAAGCAGAGGGAAAAAGCAACCCCAAGTAGATAAGTATTCGGTCTATTAAATAAATAAACAAAAATAAATGTTCTTCTAGTTTATCTTCTTTATATTCATTCTTTCTCCAAAATGATAGGAATCAATAATTTTAGCCAAGAGGGAAATAAAACAATCTAGAACTTAAATGAGTTGAACAATAGGAAAAGCCAATACCTGATGATTATCAGTGTCTCTCATGCATCATACAATCTAATTCACATATTCTGTACTACAATGTTAACAAGAGCCTTCTTCTCTCCCTTAAATATTCATTGGGTTCTTAAATCTAAGCAATAGAACAGAAGAGCAAACAAGCTAGTTTTTGCTCTGTAAAAACATTCAATACCTACCACAGTGCCACATACACTAGGTTCAACCTAAAACAAATGATTTAAGATGTATAACCAATTTAAAACACATTAAAAAATCTTTCTAGCTGTATGACCTTGTGCGAGTTATTTAGCTTCTACCAGGGTTTCTTCATTTTTAAAGTGTATTAAGATAGCCCTTTCATACTCTCATTTTTCTAAGGCTAATTTATCTGATTCAACATCCAGCGTCTGTATCCAGTACAGAATAACAGACAGCATTTAATGAACTTTTTATGCCACAATGGCAGCAAAGCCAAGACCTGAATATATGAAACTACTACATGTACATGTACATATGTTTATGGTTTCTACCATTATTCCATGCTGCAATTTGTTTTTTACCTATCTTTCTTTCATAGCATCCCAGGACATTCTTCACTGCCAGAGAGAATGTTATGTATTTTTATAAATTACCATGTTGAATGGCAATTTCCATATGCAAAAAAAAAAAAGGGACTTCAACCTTTACCTTGCACTATAGAGAAAAATAAATTCTAAATGGACCATAGACTTAAACAGCTAAAAATACATACAACTCTTGAAGAGAACACAGAAGATTCATAAATCTTCATGAACTTAAAGGTAGGACATGGATAGGACACAAAAAGCACTACCCATAAATTTAAAAATAAGTAAAATGGACATCATTAAAATTAAAACTGCGCTGTGAATAATACTATTAATGAAATAAAAAGACATCCTATGGCATGAGAGAAAATATATGCCAAACATATACGTGACAAAGAATTTTCATCCAGAATACACAAAGAACTACTAAAAATAGAAGGACTAGCTGGGTGTGGTGGTGGGCACCTGCGATCCCAGCCACTCGGAAGACTGAGGCATGGGGATCACTTGAGTCTACGAGTTTGAGGATTAAGAGAACTGACTACAAGGGGAAACAAGGGAACTTTCTGTGAAAATGGAAATGATCTGTATCTTGGTGCAGTAGTGGTTACACAATGGCATACTCTGTCAAACCTCACTAAACTATATAATCAAAAAGGATGAATATTATTTTTAAGCAAATTACATGTTAATAGGCTTGACTCAAAACTTACTGAATTGGCTCGGCACCTATAGCTCAAGCAGCTAAGGTGCCAGCCAC